GGCGTTTTTTACAAGTTGCCAAAAGAAATTTTCAAGTAGTACGGCCATATTTTATCTTTACTGAAGACTTTTATGTTGAGCTTTAGTTTTTGCTTTCTGTTTTGGTTGTTTATTTCCTACATTTATGTGGATCGCTATTCTTTTTATTGTATCGCCCTAATTGAATATTGATTTGGTAAATACATATACTTAGCTGCAATTCTTTCTCAGTTATCGTTTTATGTGAGAAATAGATGCTAACCGAATTACGTATTAATTTTTCTGGATACTACGAGATGTTTAGGTACGTAATACTTGCAATTGAACTGCATTTCTGAAATATTAGTTAGTCGCTCACGCATTTGAAAGGACATTATAGATAGATTCGTTCTATTACGGCTAAGTTGCTATTATCGACAAACAATTACGTGGTACCTACCTACTTATTAGGTGAGTGAACGAGCCTTTAGCGATCTCTCTCTCTCTGTCTGCTGGTTATGTATGCCCCACCAGATCTCAAAAACGGTTGGGAATGCTTATATCATTTTTTGGTACTTTTTCATTGCTAAATGCCGTTTATACCTGAATCCGTTTAGCAAATTGAAGTAGGTTTGCGTATTCTCATTACCTACTCTTATTTCAATTTAATGACGCTTAAGCGACACACGAAATGCCATAAATAACGGCGGCCGACCGTTCAAAAATTTAACAGGAGGCATAACGGCCGAAGCAGTGAAGGATTACTCATCTTTAAATTAAGAACTGGACTGCAGATAGTGTGGCTACGTCCTTTCTACGTTCTACATTCTTAGGATCAGAATTTTGAAGAAATTTTTGGGCAATTTTCATCCTTTTGGAAACACATTTATTTATACCGTGTGTCTCAAGTTGAACGCAGCATAGGCAAACAGAATTAATTTAGTGTAGTGTAGTTTCGGGTTTTCCAATTTTAAGACAGTCACAATTTTCAATGCCCACTACTTGATTAACACATTTTCCATTCCGTCCGGAATAAAAAATCGCGCATTATTCAGTCTTTTGGATATCAGATCAGCGTATTTTTATACCAGTCATGCCCATTAACAGTAAAAAGAGTCCTTGTCATCTGCTTCCAATAAAAACTGCATGATTATCTATTCCGATCAAATGTTTGCCTTTTTTGGGCTGTAACCCTCTGACTGGTCTAAAAAACATAAACCAAATCTTCAGTGCGTAAATTTTAACTCAGAACATACTAATTTTGCTTTCCCTTTCTCTAGTTAAATTACGAACAGTTATGTCATTGGATTTTCTTCTATACGTACGCTAAAATATTTAACTTCGCACATGGCAATTTTCTTATTGGGATTTCAGCAGCAAATAAATCCTGCAATGGCTGTAATTGTTCTTGTTCTTTTGTATACATTTTATTAACAATTAATAATCTTAATTTAATAAATCATTCCGATAATGACATTTATTGAAAAACATTTGAAAAAGATGAAAGTGGGTAAGATTGGTTGCATATATTAATGGGTTTTGGCTTGTATACAGGGTGAGTTTTTTTTCATTTTAAGCATTAGGACCTCGGAAACCGTAAGACATAGAGATTCGGTTAAATGAGGAAAGAGTTGTCGTTTTAAGAGCTTATTCAAGATATGCTTTTGTTTTTTTTTAAATCCAAAGTTTACTAGATATGAGCGAAAAACAGATTTAGTGATTTTTCATTTAACTGTTGTAGAATCGTTAGTATTAGAAATACAGAAATATTCAAAGAACAAAAATTGTAGATTTTTTTCCGTTTAATAAGATACACTTATTAATATTTATTCTTCTTTTATAATTTTCGAGTTATAACGTAAACTTACATTTTTTTAAATGGCAATCATAGTTGGCTGTGACATTTTTAAAAAGTGCATTTTTTTCTGTTTATAATGATATAAGGTTCATTGTACTTACTTGGACAAATAAACATGATACAAAACTGTTTGCATTATTAAGAGCAGTAAAAAGAGATTTTGCCATGGGAAACATTTTTGTTCTCTTAATTACTGTCTATTATAATATTTAACTTGCATGTTAGTTGTGCGGCGGGGCACCGTTGTGTTGAAGCCAGCGTAAATTACGTCGTGTTTCCAAATTTAACCCATCCTACATATCTTGAAATTCATTTGGTGGAAAATGAAGATAACATTAGCCTGTCCAATTTTCTTCGTAAATGAAAGGTCTAAGCATACGCGATCCAATAATTCCACGTCAAACATTAAATCCAAGTTTCCTTTGAGGCCTTCTAGTTCAACAATGAACAGCAGTATTTTGTTTATTTATTATTTTCCACGGCATGATGCGATCTACTTTTAATACTTAGGTATTGAATATGATTATTAATTTAACTTTCATAGTGAATTTTTGAAGATGGCCTTTAAATATGCTAAATGTGCCACAGTTACACTATTACCATAGAGGAATTGTATTTCCTCTATGCTATTACCTCTCTCACTAGATATTGTTTTCCATGGCCAACTCTGTTTACTTACCTCACAATAATACGAAAATTACTGCAGGGCGTTTACTTATATCATTATAAAGAGAAAAATTTGTCCTTTTTAAAAATATCAAAGCCAACTATGACTACCATTTAAAAAAATTAAAGTTTGTATTATAACTCAAAACTTGTAAGATCTAAAAATAAATTAGTATGTTCATCATGTTAAGCATTAAAATGTCTAAAACTTTTATTCGTGTCATTTTGTTGTATTTCTAATAATAACGATTCTACAACATTTAAAAGAAAAATCACTAAATCTGTTTTTCGCTCATATCTAGTGAACTGTGAATTTTGTTCAAAAAACAAAAGCATATCTTAAATAAGCTCTTAAAACGACAAACAACTCTTTCCTCATTTAACTGAATCCGTATGTCTTATGGTTTCCGAGATCCCAATGCTTAAAATGAAAAAAAACTCACCCTGTATTTAAGAATTGAACGTAAGATATATAAATATAAAAATGTCTAGTCAAAATACAAAAACCGACATTACATAATTTTGAAATGTGGTCAATCACTTTCAAAGTAAGTTTCAACATTCTTAAAAAAATTCGAAAAATACAGACATATTCTTTCACATATGAACCCCGCCCAATCAAAAATAAAGGCAAAATAAAATAAAACAAAAAAAAAATTTAAAAAAATCGTCTTCGACGGAGTCATTTCCACAACCTTGTAGATCACTTTCATTGCTTAAATTTACAGGGTGGTTATTTAGCAGGGAAAAAATTGCGGGTAACAGCCGAGCAAAAGGGAGACATGTTGATTGAGTCCTAAAAAGTAGAAATTTATTTCGATCAGTGCGTAAACCGGTCAGCGTGTAAGTAAACGAATATGAAAGGTGTTACGAAAAATAAAATTTTCCAGTTATCGAAAACGGGTAAATAACATTTAATGAAGTTTTTAAATTAAAACAAAACCACATATTCCTGGAAAGGTTTTTAATTCAAAATTGACAATTAAGTACATACGAAATACAGATGTCTGTGTGCAAAATGAAGGGTAAAGGGGATGAACTTTGTAAAACAAATTTCATGTGTAACAGCAAATTATTTGTACAGACGAAAAATATAGTTGCGCTGATTAATAACATTGAAATAATTACGTAGTCAATGTTATAACCAATTTCTTGCGTAATTAACATTTACGGTAAACCTCCCTATAGTTATGTGGTAAACGGATTTTTTACTATTAAACATGGTAAATTAATTAACTTACGGGCTGCGGAAAAATTTTTTCGTCTCGTCATATTGTAAGAATAATACACTATACTCTCGTTTATTTAACTGGAACCATTTGGGCCGAGTGAAAGGACACTTCATGTACAGGTCCAAGGAAGTTTCTCGTCAAAGTCCGATTAACCAATCTATGAAGGACTACATTAGTGACGAATGGCTGTGTCTTATATAAGATACTGTTCATTTATTTTAAATTAAAAAACCGATTTCTTTGGGTATTGCAAATTTTATGACCATTTAGAAATGGATTCGGATTTGGAAAGGTCTCAATGAAAGGAATTAATTTCTACGAACCATAGCCCCCTCCTCGACCCTTACCTTGATCGGTTGTTTCCTTCCTTATATCCCACGAGCGGATTGTCGGAGAAGGGTACTAACAAAGAAAGATTAGAACCTCTGGAAGAAGTATATCCATTGGTGACGTCAACACTTTAAAAACAAATGTCTCGAAATCGGTTTGTCGGAGGAGATTACTCACAAATGCAAAATGAGTCGTCGCGATATATCTATCCATGAAGACGAAGCGAATATATTGAAAACGAAGTCTAGAAAGAGGGTACTCATAAACTCTGGATAAGACATATCTTGGTGATGTCAAAACTTTCAATGCAAATATCTGCAGCACAGTGTCAAAAAGGGTACTCTCAAAGAGCGGAAAGGTGGTTTAAACGAGACACATCTCTTAGCGATAAGAAAACTGAATTGTGAATCTCGAAAATGTGGTAGGAAAGTACCTACAAAACAGAAAGCAATATCTAGGACAATTTATTCCTCGAAGGACTTGATTCTTCTTGCATTATATAGCGTAGATTTTGAGTATATGCCAAGCAGACTTTATTTGTTTATGTGTCCCCTCCCCCTGCCAGCCGTCCAGCAAATGCGAGGAATTTTTTAGTTGTGACGCATCAGTTTATAACATCAAACCTTTTTGTAACGATCGAAGTGCAGAGATCTCAAACCCTTGTATGAACTGAGGATCGAAATTTGGGTATTTAAAAGATTAATTCGGTGTTTACGATATTCGGATTTGAGATTTAAATCTGCTTTCTTTCAACATGCTACTTTCTCATAAATGATTGGTACAATCAACACCTTGGTCCCTTGATAATAAATTTACCGATGAGAGCATGTGTTACATAGATACGGAAGTGGTTTTTTATCATATTTGTTATTTTCGTGAACCCTGGCTTTGCAGTGTTATCACATTGAGATAAGGATTATTTAATGTTTAGTTAGGTACCAAAAAATAAGTGCAAATTTATAGCACGTTTTGTATTGCTAATCGAAAATCATTTTTATTACAATTAATTTCATCTGGTTACCTTCCTGGCGGTCCTGGTGGTCCCATCAGTCCAGGTCTTCCCGGCGCTCCCGATACGCCTGGTCGTCCGATCGCTCCTGGCACTCCCAGTGGCCCTAAATTGCACTTTGCGTTTAACTCCTCAATTTGCGCCGTGGACCTTACCTCTTTCGCCTGGCGGTCCCGGTCTTCCAGGATAACCAGCAGGTCCGGGAACACCAGGAACTCCAGGTACTCCGGGCGGTCCTCTAATTGGACAATTTTCTTCAATTGTCTTGCAAACCTGCATTACATCGCCCTGCTACAACAGTTTTAGATCGAAAGAAAATTGACTTACATCGTCGCTCCTCTTTCGACGATTGAAGATATCTGCTTCAACGAATAGCTGCTCATCCACATTTTTCAATTCAATTTCTCCAACATCTTCCACAATAGCGTTATGCCCCAAACGGACTTGTCTATTGATTTCAATCTCAATCTCCGTTTTCAACATGCGATATGTATAAATGGCAATGGAAACTTGCACCAGTATCAAAGAACCTACTAGCAGCACCGTCATCATTATCGTTTTTGGTGTTATCGGTTTTTCATGCCGAACGTCCAACATTATTTCAACTTAAAGGTTTCTATCCAGCGAAAGCTTTCACTCAGACTAGTCTGCAATGGTGCAAGTATTGCGATTTCATTAATAGTCCGACCTATGACCATTTATTTCCCAATTTTATCATGTTATTCTCAGATAATCCATAATATAGTCAAAAACAAAACCACTTTACAAGACCAAAATAACATAATGTTTACTTTTGGCCGTAGAGCAAGTGCGTTTTGTCGTTTTCGTGGCAAAATTAGTGATACAACTGAACAACATAATTATATGAATTACTCTAGAATAGAGACGTACAGAAGCAATGTGCGAAATAAATGGAAAAGATCTATGGTACGAGGCCTGTTTCTCATTTTTGAAAGTTTTATTTACATAATATATTGTTCCTTGTCAGTTGTCGCGTCCAAACTACTTCACCCTATTTACACTATTTTCTCAGCAATTTTTCCACTTTGCGGAACAGTTCTGGTATACTCCTTTGTAATGTTTTTTAATATATAAATGGCCTTTATTGGTCGTTACTAATATTGAAAGTTTAGACTTCTCCTATGCAGTTATTTAAACAATTCTCCTATCATCTCTATGCATTAGCACAAAATGTTATGATGGATTTTTGTATATTTATGAATGTCTGTATCGTTCTAGAGTATATAAGTGTCTCTGTTGCTGTTTCTATCTTCTTCATTATGTGAACCAATTACGTCTGGAATCTGCTGTTTGAATCTCACAGTTTTATAAGTCTCCTTTTCATATTTGCGATTGCTCCTGACATTTCTTCCCTAAGTTCGTCCTTAGCGCATTTTCCAACGAATTTGGGTGCGCTATTGCAGCCACTTTCTCTGTCCGTCCGTCTGTCCGAGACCTACTCCTACAGTTTTCAAGATATTAAGTTCGTTCTTTTTGCATTCAATAGCGTATAGCTCTAGCACCTGAGCGAAGGAAAATCTTGACAATTAAACTGCGCAATGTCAAGTTGCTTATTTATTAATATATTCTCTTGAAACTTTAACCACAGATACTTCTGGTGAAGGGAAATATATCGGATACAGTAAAAATCAGATGTGCGCATGCGCAGACTGCCCAATGGCAACTTTCTTATTTATGGAGATATTTCTTTGAAATTTTAACTAAAGATGCTTTTAGTGTAAACAAACGTATCGCATATTGTAAACATCAGAATAATGCGCGCATGCGCAGGATGCGCAATATCAACTGTTATTTATTGACATATCTTTTTGAAATTTTAATCACAGATGCTTCTGTTAAAGGCAAACTGTTTTATTTTAATCCTCGTTTGGTCCATAAGCCTTTAAAATTGAAGTTTTTATATGCTCCATTTTCATTTTTAATTTAATTAGCCTTCATTAATGAATTCCCATTTGTTTACTCTTCTTAAATGTTCGGCCTCTATGAGATATGCCACGCCTTCCTCTCATTTTTGAATCCATTCTGCTTGCGCAGGTTAGATTTACAAATTTGACGGCATAAGAAATTATATACATGTACCGTTTCATAATGAAACAGAACAGCATTAATATTCGAGAAAATAAAGCTCGTTCAGATATGAAACGAGTGTTCAAGAAGATAAGAGTCAAAACGTGACAGTATTGTCGGTTCTAAAAACCATCATGACGGAGAATAAGGGACCGTATTTCGACTATACCTTCACATGCATAAAACAGAGTGAACGCTTGGTTTTCGTTCAGGTCGTTTCGTATTTGGGATTCGGCGAGTTCATAAGTAAAAATCGAGTGGGAGAAAGACACTCTTTAATCAAACTTTCTGCATTTTTCGATCGCGTACTGAATTCTTAGCCAGACCTCCGATGCAAACTTGCGTAACGTAAGCGCGGAAATTTATAGATCGTAAAACGAAATTCTCCGCCATGTTTTCAAGGTGAATCATGTGAGTTGTGTACGCCAGTTTTGAGATCGCGTCAAATTTCATTGTTAATTAAAAGTTCAAACCGAAAGCTCTATAACCGCAGTATATAAAAGAATTGTGGACGCGCAACCGAAGATTGTGTCATCTTTTTCGACGAATTTATTGTCCTGGGTACTTATACATTCAGTGGGAGCTTCCCTTTTGAACAAAACCAATAATAAGAGGCGTATTTATGCAAAAAGGAATCTTATTGTTACCACGAAAGCGTTAATGTCCAAGGTGCCAATCTTTTCATTGACCTATACCTATATTTTAAGTGGATAGTTACTTAAAAAAAAACAAGTTTACCAATCGAAGCCGTGCACTAGTAGCTCAGGCAATACAGAACATATTAGGACCTTAGCTTGCAAAATTAATGGTAGTTCTGGAAATAGGCTTACTTTATGTTTTTTGGGTTGCTGAGTTCAAATTTTTAACTTCCCACCAAAAATTCCCCCCGCAACCCTCCCAAATCTTGAAAAGTAAGAAAAAAATACGTTTTTTTAAGAAATCGTTTTTTGTGGTTTCACGAATAAAATACCTACAATTTTGAAATGTAGATATAAATAGTATGCAACCAAAAACGTCCTACAAGCTTTTACGTACTACACTACGCACGTAGGGGGCGCTGGCGTGCGTTGAAGTATGCTTATTGGCGACTCAGGCGCACTTCGCTTAACAATCCACGGCGTTCGTGTTCGCTCTCCCTTCACCCGCTTTATCTTTCTTTCGTTTTAACCCCCCCCCTCCTTTAATCTCTCTTATTTTTCAACATCTGGAAGTCAACCCTCAATCTCCAACTTTTCCCCATCTATTTTCAGACAAGTTCAGAATTAAGAACACATCTACATATTTAAAAAATATACTTTTATTACTAAATTAAATTATTTAAAAAAATTTTAAGTTGCCTACTCTTTTCCGTTTAACTGCAGCTGAGGGCCCACAGCTGAAAATTAGGTTCATGCACCAAAAAGATTTAATTGGTTTCAAAGTCCCGTTTTTAAAGTAAATTGCTTGATCCATTGTTGAACGAAGACAAAAAAAGGAAGTTTAGAAACGACTAATCTGACAATTCTTCCGTGTTTTCGGACTCGAGAAAAGCTGGACCATCAGATTTATGTGATTTCCCCAAAATAATCTCATCAGCTTGATGGACCACCTTTTCAAATAGTAGTTCGAATTCCTCTGCTTGTCCATCGTCTTCATCAAAATCTTCGACGACATCTTTAGGGCTATTGGCGCATGAATTGTTGCCCTACATTTCAACCAACTTTTCCTGCATATACACGCGCCACGGCATCCTTTTTTTTACACCCAGGAGATTAACTTTTCCAGCTCCATTTTTGTGGTTCCATGACATTTCCTAGCCAAAGTTGGACTTGGTGGTTCGTCCTGAATGAGTGTTGCTTCATGTTGGAGGCAAAGAGGATATATCGTGTTTACTAATGTACGCAGTCCTAATGAAACACTGATGTCTAAAACCGTTTAAAGTCATGTTGTCATTCTTGCAATCATACAAAGGAAGTAAAAATTGATTCCCAGCGTTTGCGATAGCTTGTGCGTCTGCATTTGGAATCAGAAATAGCTAAGCTAGGAAAAACAAATCTGGGTTCTAAACGAAGACTTTAATAAATTTGGTTTTCCCGTCGCCAAATGTCGAAGACGTAGAGTCACAGCCGCTGAAACCGTGTAAAAATAGTATGTTTTTAGGGGGGCGGGACACTTCGCCGAATGCCCACAACGCCGACCCGATTTTTGGATGGTCCATATCGCCGACTAGGGACACTACGCCGACGGACACTACACCGACAGTGCCCACATCGCCGACAAGTGGACAAGGGACACAACGCCGACCATGCCCACATCGCCGACAAGATGTGCAAGGGACACTAGGCCGAACGTGCCCACAACGCCGACTATTCGGAAAAAAATTACTAGGGACACTACGCCGACAGCGACCACATCGTCGACAATGGAGAAGTTTCCAGTTTTTTGTTATTAATTAATTATGACAATTTAAGTAAAATGAAACAAAAATGTCATAGAATCAATAAAATTCCTCCACAAATGGCAAAGTTACAAGGCTTTAAAGTTGCGATTGGAAAAATAATTTCGAGACGTCACTTCATCTAGTTTGCTAAGAGCATGCCTTGACCATGCGATCAAAAAAGAGTGGAGTCGCCTATGAATCGCCTTTACAAATTTTTGTTTGTATGGGAAATCGTATTTCGTGGAATTACGTAAAATGACGTCACCGACACTGCCGTTCCGCGCTGAATAAGTACCTAAACTTAAATAATATTAATTCTGGGATTGACAGAAAACGTCACCAATAGTTGATATAATGGTAGATTCATGCGCAAATGATCGATTATAACTGGTTGTTTATTTAAGATCGTATTTGCTAATCTAGTTTCATGAATCCCGTCTTGATTTTTGACGGGCATAAGGGTCGGTTGTATAAAGCAGATTAAACCTCGTTTGGATTATATCAATGGGTTAAGATACCTAATTGGTTGAAGTTTGACAAAACGTCAAATTTTAACCATTCTTATACCTTAATCCAGTTGTTAACTACAAGCGAAGTTCAACCAGCCTTTATACAATCAGCCCTAGTTATTGTTCGCTTTGTTTGACTAAAATGTGAAATTTAAGAATCGCGATAGGTATTTTACAGTTCAACTAACCTAAAAACGCGATAAATTCTTCTATACTACCGGTGTAAAGATTTACGAATTTCAGTTTATCAAAACACAGCAACTATCAAATAGGAACAATTGATATTACTATATTAAGCCTAATGACATCAAAATATAGATCAAAACTAATAAACCAGTAAAAGAAATTTCAAAATCCGGATATAAATTTATTTATTTATTTATTTATTTATTGTCCCTCTTGTTTTAGGCCCTCAACAGGCTTACGCCCAATTACAGAAATATATTATCTAAGTTTAGGTATTCAGCGCGGAACGGCAGTGTCGGTGACGTCATTTTACGTAATTCCAGGAAATACGATTTCCCATATAAACAAAAATTTGTAAAGGCGATTCATAGGCGATACCTACCACTCTTTTTTGATCGCATGCTCAAGACATGCTCTTAGCAAACTAGGTGAAGTGACGTCCCGAAAT